ATACAGTACGTAGACTACAGATCTGAAATCACACTGCAAGCGCTGTGATCAAGCCAATTTCTACTTTGAGAATTTATTTTATGTATTTCTTTTTATGACCCCTCATAGACACATTAAGAGAGGTTGAGTCTGGAAGACAGAAACACTGTGAAGGTGTACATCAGGAGTGCCATATGTTGGTGAGACTGTGATGAAACCACAGGTTTGACAGTGCATATGGGGTTACAAGAGATCCAAATAGTTGCAGTTTTCTATTGTTTCCTGGTTCAGCTTCTTTCTGTTCCAGAGATTTTGATACAATGTGAGGTCATAAAATAAATAAGTAAGAAGACGTAGTTTGGGATGGAAAAACCTCTTAAGTATAGGAAGTAATAATTAAATTCTAGGAGAAATCAATCGTTGTATAGACTTGCTGATGGCTGTGGATTACAGACTTTTTCAGACTGACTCCTTCCTCAAACAGTTCTCAATGCTTCTGAGGAGAGAGAAACGCAGAATAATGATGTTTTAAAAGTATTCACTGAGATTGAAGGACTAGTTTAAAGGCTGTTTGTCTTTCTTTTTTAAAATATCAACACTGTTCATAACATAAATGGAGACTAGAGGGGAAGAATCGTGTTTCCCAAGAAGCCAGTGTGGTGTTTCTGAGTAAGAACCCAAGAGCTGATGAAATGGGAGTCTCAAGGTTCCGTGCATGTTCCTGCAAGCGTGGACTAGACACAGACCTGTGCTTTGTTCTAATTCATCTCCCAGCCTCTCTCAGTGGCAACTTTCTGTCCCATAGCCAATTGCAGGTGGAAAACAATGTCTTCACTGTACAGTTTGTTCAAATGGAAACTACCTGGTGGGCAGACAGGCAGGACGTCGGCTTAGAGTTTACCCATAAAGATGGGCTGATGATATAGGCATTCCTTTCAAACACTGTCCTGTCTAATTGTGGCCACCCCAGTAATCCACTCTACAGAGATAGCTATGTGGGTATCTAATCTTCTCATTTAAGAAGCTAGGGATATCTTTTTTTGAGTATTTCATATTTTTTCTTGTTATTCTGATATATGCTGTGCATGCTCTGATTTTGTTGGATAGTCCTTATTAAATCACCCTCTGTTTCTCTAGCAGTTACATTTACTAAGTGCTTTAAGATTTTTGGCTGGCTTCATTCCTTAAATGGGTTTCCATTCATAACATATTTACTTTATGTAGTTTTGTTTCCTTGCACTCAGGTAAGGTTTTAAAAATATATTAAAATGTTTCCTGTTCTGGTACTGAGGAACAAACCTGGCATTTCCTTTTATAATTCAAATACATTTTAATAAAAATAAATATTTCACTTTGATGAACAGGACAATATATTAAAGCACATGACATATTTTTATTTAAAATTCAAATCGGAGAATTGCTTTTGCTTCATTTATATCACATTAAATATTTTCTTTCCAAAGATGTATTATATATAATATTACATATATATGTATATATATACACACAGATACAGATATATGGGTTTGCAGCTGTATATGCACACATGATCCTTTTTTATATCTTTGAATCTTTGTTTTTCCATTTTGTATTGTTTTGTTTCCTGATAAGAGAGAATTCACATTCTATTATATTTAGTTTTAATTAGCATAATTATTTTCTAGTTTCATTATGTGTTTGTTAAACATCATATGCTATTATAACATTATTTCCCTCATATTTTCTACTATTTAAAACACATACATATCTTTGTACAACATTATATTACTGACTTTGTTAGAACTTTTCAAAGGTATTTGTATCCACATAGCTATCTTTTCATTGGAGTCCTAAGTAAAGGTTTCCTTTTTCTAGCTCATTCACTGAGACAACATTGTGTTACTGTTGCAAGTATGTGTGAATGTAAGTATTGACAGGGGAGTTGTCTTTTACTGAAGAGCGAAATCACCTTAAATACTTGAATATATTACTAGATGAAAGCTACTTTCTAGTATGTATAACATTATATTCTACAAAAATTGAATCTGGTTTTTAAGTAGATTACTAGCATTCCACTTATGACTTTGTTATATTTATATGCATATAAATACACACATAAAATTTTTAACCATCATTCTTGCAAATCTAGCTAGGGGTGATGGTACCCCCTTGTAATCCTAGTTAATCAAGTGACAGAACCAGCCTAGGCAATGTGATATTTACCTCCAAAAAATCAATCAATTAATTATTTAATCAATAAATTAAAGAATAAAAGTTCACCAGTAGTAATATGAGCTTATTCACTTTTCTTAATTTTGTTTCCCTAATTGAAGCTTTGAAACAATATTTGGACATATCTTATATTTTACCTCATCAATGTATCTCAACATATCTTCCTTTTTGATTAGCACATTACTGACAATGTATCTAATTTTATTATTATAAAGTTTTATTTCAGTTTTAATTGGCACAATAATTATATACATTTATCAGATAGTGATAATTTGATACATGTATGTGTTCTGTAATGATAAAATGAAGAATTACCATATCCCAACCCTTAAGTATATTTTTTGATGAAGATATACCGTCTTAATTTCTTCTCTTTTTTAATTTTATTGTAAAGCGATGTTCAAGGGGTTACAGGTGCGTAAGTCAGGTACTGAGTACATTTCCTTTTGAACAGCATCACCCCCCACCCTCATTCTCTCTCAGTTTATTACCGTCCCATCTCCCTTTCCCCAAAGTTGCATTTGAAAACTACAATATACTGTTATTAGGCATAGTCTCCAGAATTTTTGGTATCTGAAATTTTGCATGCTAACTGGCCTAGCCCCAGTTTCTTCTCCCTGTCCTCACAAGCCTCTGGTAAGCACTATTATATTCTTTCCCATTTTTTTTAGCATCTATACATGAGAAGAGATGATGTGGTCTTTGTGCATTTTGTGTCTGACTTATTTTACTTAATAAAATATAATGTTATTTTCTGACTCAGAAGCATTTCATTTTGTGTGTGTACCAATATTTTCTTACATATTTATTCATTTAAAAAAAACTAGGTTGTTTCACACCCTCAATATAGAATTGTCATTAATATTACTATTATCACTATGGAATTTAGCCACTTATCCAACATATTGCTTTATTTCCCTTGCATATCTGTCTGTTCTTGGAATTACTGGAACATTATGGATTCTTTCTTTCTCCATCCTTGCTCCCTTCCTTCCTTCTTTTTTTATTTTCTTTCTTTCCTTTCTCTCCTCCACCCATCTCTCTTTCTCTTTTTCACACTGTTCACTATATGGCTTTTATTTTAATTTTCATTCCTTGGAAAATATATCAGTCTCTCTTTTTTTCCATATTGGCATTTCATCTGTCTGACAGTATTCATTCTACCTGGATGAGATGAGATGACACTGTAGCTAGGTTTTGAAATACATTGCCTTGATGAATAGTGACAGTGAACTCTTTAAAATTTATCTGTTATCCATTTGGATGATTTCATATCAGATTTTTTAAGTTCTTTCCTATTTTAATTCAATTATATATGTTCAAGTTTTGTTTATTTGTTATTCCATATTGTGGATATTAACTGCGGATAATATAAACAATATATTAAAATTACTTTGTTTCCCATTTTAAGTTTTCCCCCCTCTGTTGATTTTTCCCTCAACTCTGTAGATAGTGTTTATCTTTTCTATACTACATTTCTGAGATTTGAACCAAAGCCTTGAAAATTCCAGGAAAAGTCCATACTTTTAATTTTATCCCATATTATCTATTGTTGCTTCTGTTTTCTGTTTCTGAGGTCCTAGTCAAAACTAGGACCTCAGTCTGACATTTTTATTTTCATTGCATATTCAATATCGAATCTATTTTCTTTCTTTCTTTCCTTCTTTCTTTCTTTCTTTCTTTCTTTCTTTCTTTCTTTCTTTCTTTCTTTCTTTCTTTCTTTCTCTCTCTCTCTCTCTCTGTTTTTTTCCTTCACCCTCTCTTTCTCCCAGACCCTGCATGGTTTCTGATTGACTTCTTGCTTCAAGTACCTTCAATATTTCAATCATTGACCTTCTGTAGAATTTATGACTAAGCCATGAAATCAGGAATCTCTTAAGAATAAAAGAGGATAAGACAGAAGGTCATTTATGTCAAGAACACAGAGACCAAAGGAATAATCTGTATTATTCTTGTCTGGTTCAGAAGTATTTTCCCCTTAAAACATTTAATTAAGCAGTGATATTCACTAGACCCTAAGTTGGAAATGAATTATATGACGTGTAGGAGAGGAAGGGTTTGGAGAGGAAATGCTGGGGAAAATGAGAGAAGGGTGACATTGTTCAAAAACTCTGTTTACATTAACTGAATTGTATAACTGTAACCCGTCTGTACATCATCTTTACAAGAAAATTTAAATTAAAAAATACATTTAAGGGCCATGAAAATATGAGTAATAAAATGATAATTTCAAATATACAAAAGGAACATGATTTTTAAAGTTCTGGATGTAGGATTCTAAATTTTAATTTGTTTCAATTTTTTACCTGGGATTAACTGTACAGACAATATTTAACAAATGCATTTTCCTCCTCTTCCTGGTCCACATGCCTTGCAAAACTGACCATGGAGAGTTCATTATGTCTCTCATAGTTGATTGTCTGCCTTGTTTCCTCATTACAGCAAGTTCTGTTGTGCTTTGGAGGTGTACATTTGTTCTTCATCATACAGAAGAACTGTCTTCCAAGTTTATGTTGTTGTTTCATGATATCCTTCATTGTTGCGATCCAGGCTTATTACTGTTATCTGGAAGCATGTTCTCACTATTACTCTTACTCTAAATTCTTGATTGTTCTTCTACAACAATTAAGAAAAATGAGCAAGAAAGAAGCAGTAAAGCTCCCTCCCAGAAAATAATTGACATCAGTTTGTTAAGTAAATGATTTCAGTGATTATATTCAGACATGTGTAATGATACCTTTCCTTTTATCTTTATGATTTTCACACACTCCACACTTTTCTTTTTCTGGCTCTAGTTCAAATGCAACACTATGGATGGAAACAAGACATTTTCCAGCGACTTCACCCTTGTGGGGCTCTTCACTCATAAGAAAACTGCAGGGTTCCTTTTCAGTGTCATTTGTGTCATCTTCTTCATGGCCATGATCGCAAATGGGGTCATGGTCTTCCTGATCCACACAGACCCTCTCCTCCATACTCCTATGTACTTCCTACTCAGCCACCTCTCCTTCATTGACATGATGTACATCTCCACCATCGTACCCAAGATACTGGCAGATTATCTAATAGGCAAGGGGGCCATCTCTTTCATTGCCTGTACACTCCAGTACTTTCTCTACATGGGTTTTGTGGGAGCCGAGTTCTTCCTGCTGGGGCTCATGGCATATGACCGTTATGTGGCCATCTGCAACCCCCTTCGCTATCCGGTCCTCATGAGTCGGCGTGTCTGCTGGTTGATCTTGGCCAGCTCTTGGTTCGGTGGTGCATTGGATAGCTTTCTCCTCACTCCCATTACCATGAGTCTCCCATTCTGTGCCTCCCACAGGATTAACCACTTTTTTTGCGAGGCACCCACCATGCTGAGGCTGGCCTGTGGAGACAAAGCCATCTATGAAATGGTGATGTACATTTGCTGTGTTGTGATGCTTCTGATCCCCTTCTCAGTGGTAATTTCATCCTATGCCCGGATTCTTGTCACTGTGCATCATATGAAGTCAGCAGAGGGGAAAAAGAAGGCCGTTGCCACGTGCTCTTCTCATGTGATTGTGGTGACATTATTTTATGGAGCTGCCTTGTACACCTATATGCTCCCGCAATCCTACCACACGCCACTGAAAGACAAGATCTTCTCTGCTTTTTATACTATCCTCACCCCTTTGTTAAACCCTCTAATCTACAGTCTAAGAAACAGGGATGTGACAGGGGCCATGAAGAGGGCAATGGCAAAACGACGGGGGACCTGTGGTGTGACAAGGAAAGAATTCTGAGAGTCTAAAACCTGCCCAGGGATGTCTGGGGTGCCATCACAGATAATAGGGAGAAGGCTGGCCTCAACCACCAGTTCCATTAAGTGGAATGTTGCTCCAATGTTGCTCCATCAACAATGAAAAGCCAGGGCTGGGAAGGTGGCTCAGTGGTAGAGTGCTTGCCTTGTATGCATGAGGCACTGGGTTCAATTTTTCAGCACCACATACACAGAACTTCCAGCACAACTATGTTTATTGCATCATTATTGACCATAGCTAAGATATGGAACCAACCCAGATGCCCCTCAGTAGATGAATGGATCAAGAAAATGTGGTATATATACACAGTGGAATTCTATGCCTCCTTCAGAAAGAATGACATTGCCCCATTTGTTAGGAAATGGAAAGACTTGGAAAAAATTATATTAAGTGAAGTAAACCAGGCCCAAAGAAACATAGGTCCCATGGTTTCCCTTATTTGCAATAACTAGTATATGTCTGAGACAAGCAAAAAAGATCAGATAAGTTGATGTTAGGCGAAATGAACCCCAAGAGAAGGACAGAATATGTTTTTCTTTCTTGCTATTGTTTCTAACATATTCATAAGGTGATTGTTTTGTTTCTTTGTATGTCCCTCCCCACGATATAACAACTGTTTTCACTGTATTTGATGTTGGTATAATTTGTGGAGAAGAAGGGAAAAAACAAATTGTTTAAATAGGGATACAGGTGGACCCTTTGCAACAATGAGATGTACAAGATGCTATGTTGAAAAACGAACTTTACAACTTTGCGGGGGACAGGGGGAGGCTAGTGTAGTCGTGGAGATGGGAAGGCAGGGATGGTAGGGGAAAAACAAAGGAGGCAACAATACTTGATAAGAAATGTACTCATCACCAAGCTCATGCTATTGTAACTTCTCTGTACGGTATTTTCACAATAAAAAAAACTTATTTAAAACAAAGCTGGAAGTGGCACTGTGGCTCAAGGGGTAGAGTGCTAGCCTTGAGCTGAAGAGCTAAGGGACAGCACCCAGGCCTAGAGTACTAGCCCCACAACCGACAAAACAAAGCAAAACAAAACAAAAAAAGAAGCCCTTGCAACATCCATACACAGATGGTTCTCTAGCTCCACAAACCCTACTTTTTATTCCTTTATTTTTCTCTTATGACAATTCTCTGATTGCAATTCGAGCATATAAATATCCCCAAAAGCATGGTTAGCATTTTGTACCAATTAAAATAACTTCATGAGACCTTTTGACCTTTTAACTGTGCTTACACTGTTTGACCTCTCCATTGGCTAGAGTATATGGAGCATTTAGAGATATCAAAATTTGAAAGACATTTGCAAGAGACTATGGCATTTTAAAAGTGTATACCATTATAAACTATGCTTACAGGGATTCACAGAATTTTTTAAAATCTAAATTTCTCTCTTTTGAATAAGAACTAAAAAGATTCCTATTTACCTAAATTTATAGCAAGAAAAATGAATTGTAATTTTTTAGAAATGCAAACATTAGGCTGCTACAGGGTTAAGGTTCTATTACATTTTTTGTGGTATAAATAATCATTGCATTGCAGGTTAAGGGGAGAAATCATTGGGTAAGAAGTGACTTATTAGTTAGCAATTTTGGTAATTATAATCCTGCTTTGTGGTTATTAGTCATCTGGAATCTCTGTGTACATATTATTGGCGAAAAGAATGTTTCCATCTCTTTTTTCTTCCAAAGAGATTCTGGACCACACGCTTTCCTTACCTTTCAGCACTGGATTTTGCCTTGTATAAGATTTTTAAAATGGGAAAAAATAATACAGCCTTTCATTTGTAAGTTACAACTAGAAAACCCATTGCAGAGAATTTATTATCATGTTTATGGAATTAAAGTCTGGGCAAAATTGTCTAGACTAACTCATAGACTCAGTGATAAAAAAAAATGCCATGTACTTAGCTCCTGGCACTAACTACATGGTGCTGTGCATGACTTTGTGCTCTTAACCTGTTTGACAAACTCAAATTGTGTTCAGTGATGTCATCTTGCTTACTGACAATGGTAAGTAAATTCAACAAAAGCACACTTCCCATTGAAAAAGCCACTGAATGTTACAAAAAAAAATCCTTAGCCAATCATTTTGGAGAACTGTGTGAATTTACTTGCTAATTCAGAAAGCAGATATCCATCTCCGTCACTGAGCACAGTAATCATTTGCAAACCAGAAGCAACCTTTCTGACACTGTCTGTATAACTCATTCCTTGTACTTTTCTGAGTAGCTGGGAGAATGACAGGTGCCAGATGATAATATGATTTCTAACCTGTATGATTTGAGGCACAGGAAATGAAACAAATGAAAAGGGAAGGAAGGTCTAGATTAACCATGAAAATTGGACAGCAAATTTGGGTTCATGATGATTCTGTGGCTTCATTTCATCCTTGTGAAATTGAGTTGATGTGTATTTTTGTAAGATTTTCAAGATCAAACAAGCAATGTAAAGGAACTTCATTAGTAGTATTATTTTCTATTATTCTTAAGAAAAATGGGTTTTCATTCTCATCATAATTCTTTTTTTGTCTGTGTATGCCAAAAGTGGGATTTCAATTCAACCCCTCATATTCACACTTGGAAATTTGTTAAGCTTAAAGCTCTATCACTTGAGCCACAGCTCTACTTCTGGCTTTTTGTTATTAATTAATTAATAAGAGTCTTACAGAGTCATTTGACCTATCTGGCTTGAACTGTGATCTGCAGTTCTTAGCTTCCTGAGGAGCTAGAATTACATATGTGAGGCAGTAGTGGCCAACAAAATATTAATTGTCAAAATTCTTCTTATGAGTGTTACCTCTTTACATATATGAAAAAGCTCTCCTGTTGGTTAATCTTTTTGTTTTTTTTTGTTTTGTTTTTGTTTTGGTCGGTCACTGGGCTTCAACTCTGGGCTTGGATGCTGTCCCTGCACTCTTCAGCTCAAGGCAAGCACTCTACTGCTTTAGCCACAGTGCCACTTCTGTCTGGTTTTCTAGTGGTTTATTGGACATAAGAGTCTCACGCAGTTTCCTGACCGGGCTGGCTTTGAACTGCGATCCTCAGATCTCAGCCAACTGAGTAGCTAGGATTACAGGTGTGAACCACAGGGTCCAGCTCTGTTGGTTTATCTTGAGGTGTGCCAGACTGGTAAGTATAAGAATTAACATTGTTGGACTTAATATGTTAATATGTAATACATATTGGTAACATATTATATGTAACATATTAATAATATACATTAATATAATGTCTTAGTAATAAAGAGGTTTGAAATTAACTTCAAGTGGAAAGTTATTTAAAATTTGGCTTTGCAGGCTTCAATGTGCTTCCTGTCTGACACTTTCTTTATACAAAATAAATGTTAAGCTTCCGCCTACTTCAAGGGCACTTTAGAGTCAGCATCATGGCAGAAGATATCAAAACAAACCTTAAGAATTGTCCCCTCTTTCTTAATTTAAATTTATTGTAAAGGTGATGTTCAGAGTGATTACAGTTACGTAAGTAAAGGAATGAGTACATTTCTTTTTGAACAGTGTTATTCCTTCCCTCATTTTCTCATTTGACCCCTCTCCCCTCCACCTAATTTTAAAGTTAATTTCCACCATAGTGTCTAGAAAGTTTCATTGTTGAATTTATTCACCATTTTCCCACCATTTTGGTGATTCCTCCTCCTTTGCCCAAATCAGATAAAATTTATATAAAAAACAAAACGTGAAGAAAAAAAAAACAGTGACAATAGGAAATAAACCAAAGGAAGACAAAAAGAGAAAGAAAAAAGAAATAACTGCAAACACTACAATAAAAATCCTCTTGCTTCTATTTCTTGGAGTTCATTTCTGTAAGCAGCATTTTATATAATCATATGCACATGGCTATTGAGCCATTGTGATCCTCTGCTAAGAATATCCTAGATATATTCTAGCTATTACAATGAGGGAACCATGCAGCCTATGTTTCTATGGGTCTGGCTTTTTTAATGTAATTTTTGTTCAAGTCTTTCCATTTCCTTACAAATGGGAAATGTCAGACCTTCTCTATGACCCAGCAATCCTACTCTTGAGCATTTACCCAAATGACCACAAACAAGGCCACACTAGAGCTATCAGCACAAGCATGTTAACCTCAGTATTATTACCATTATTGCCATTATTGTATTAAGTATTATAGCAGCTAAGATATGGAATCATCCCAGATGCCTTCAGTAGATGAATGGATCAAGAAAATGTGGTATATATGCACAATGGAATTCTCTGGTTCCAACAGAAAGAATGTCATTGCTCCATCCGTAAGGAAAGAGAACTACCTCCTTTTACAATTGCTTCTCCAATCAGACCCACAGCAAGAGCTGTCATCAGAAATACCTGGATTTCCAATGTTATATAATCTCAGTGAAGGGTCATTGTAAATGGTATTGGCCTGTGGATAGGTCTCTTTGCCCCATATCCTGGGCCTCAAACTGAAATAACCACTGTACAGAAGGCACAAATTCTGGGAAGACCTCATTGGGTTCCATTCCATCTCTCCTTTGTCCTTTCTCCTTCCTATGTAAAGTTATATGATAATTCCTACCTAGTGATTATGAATATATATGCACATTGGATGTGCATATATGATGTGTAACTAATAATAAATGTCCTTGAAAAAAGGTAGAAAAGATAATGCATTCTTTAACTGTAGCAATTAAGACAAGAATGAGATAATAGTGTACATCAATTAAAATGTCTAAATTTTGTGACCATGGAAAAACTCAGCTAAGTAGAGGAACTCTTATCTGTTGCTGATTGGAATGAAAAATTTTCTTAAAAAATGAAACATGATCTCAAACAAGAGTAGGTGGAAACTTGTTCTTGCCTTCACTGTATAATCATATCCTAATCTTGTAGGAACCCATCCCTGTCATGTGGTATTCTAAATTCTAAAGATAAGCATCTATGCCAGCTCTTCTCCTAAACTTATTTAAACTCACTTCCACAAGAGCAATTTGTTTGTCTGGA